AGGCTGCAGCTGCGTTTGATTCAGGGCGCATGCTGCGATGTGTTCTATTCTCGGGGACGGCTTGTGCTCTTGGCATTCCATTTCATGCTTCTCTGACATTTCACTAAAAAGCAAATGTGAATATTCTAAAGGGTGCCGGCGGTTTCTGGAGTCATTCTTGTTAATAAATGTCACCGGTGGTGAGATTGCTGCCGGCTCCCCATCTGAGGCTGCCTGCTTCCCTCCTGAGCTGCCTCCAGCTCCGTGGTGGATGTTTGCTGATGTTCAGAGGTTGGCGCATCTCTGCTGAGAAGAGTCAGTGGTGAGGGGGGTGTGCCTGACCTGAGTCCCTCTGATGCCCTGCAGATCGTTGCCTCCCGCGCCACACGGGAGCTGCCACAGACAGGGCCTGCATTACTGTGGCCGCAGGACAGCCCAATCCCACCAGGCTCCTTTCTTCCAGAAAGTTTTCAAGGTTTCTGCCTGAATGATGTGCTTCCTTTTTAATTGCAGCATTAAAATTTTTTTTTTTAGTTACAAACTTACGAACTTTTGTGTTTGCATTACAGTCATACAATGATCGTTTACCCGTCCCTCCACCAGTGCCCATTCTCCTCCACCAATGTTCCCAACATCCCTCCCACCACCCCCACCCCAACCCCCACCACCCCACCCTGCCTCAGTGGCAAGGCAGGGCATTCCCTTTTTTTTCTCTCTCCTTTTGGGTGTTGTGGTTTAATTGTAGCATTTTAACACTTTTCCTCCCCTGAAATTATTTCAGTATTATTTGAGGAAATTGTTATCGCCTCAAATTCCTTTTTTCCAACATTTTGGGGACCCCCCCTCAAGTAATACTCAGGAGGTACTCTGGGGGTCACCCTGGTGATTTACAGCCTTCGAGGCTGTCAGTTCAGTGCAAGGGCCTAAGAATTTTTTTGACTTATTTTTTATTGAGTCGCCATTAGATAAACAGTTAATACGATGTTTATGGTTGGTTTCAGTCATACAAAGTTCTAACACCCATCCCTCCACCAGTGCACATTTTCTACTACCAATGACCCCAGTTTCTCCTGCTACTCCCCACCCCCTCAGTCTGCCTCTATGGCAGGCACTTTTCTTCTCTCTCCCCTCTCTCTCCCTCTCCCTCCCTCTCTCTCTCTCTCTCCCTGCCTCTGTCTCTCCTTCCCTCCCTCTCTCTCTTTCCCTCTCCCTCCCTCTCTCTCTCTCTACCTCCCCCTCCCCCTCTCCTTTGGGTATTATAGTTTAAAATACAGATACTGAGAAGTTATCGTGTTTGTTCCTTTACCTGCTTTCAGCACACAGTTCTTATGGGTCTAAGGATTCTTAAGGCCTGAGGTATCAGGGATACCCAGGCCACCCTGGCAGTGTCTCCAGGACTGGGACACAGATGCTTGGGGCACCGTGCCATGCCAAGAGTGCAGTCTGGGTCTGTGCATGCCTACACATAACCACTGTCTGTACTGTCTCCCTCCCAGTCACCTCCAATTCTTAACTTGAAATGAAATTTGCATGGCTTCTGATTAGACTGAGTCCAAGGAGCCGGTTCTGGAGTGCCTTGCACCCAGTTCCCCCAACCTCTTATCTCCAGTACGTGACTCTCTGCCTGAGGGCTTCCTCCAGCAGCCCAAGTCCCTCTGCCTGGGCATGGCAGGTCACACATGCTGGAATTCCATCACCTGCACCTCTCAATGGCTGCTGGGGCATGGAAACACTGCAGGTCCCCTGAGTCTCTGCTGGGAAAGCCCAAGATGCCCAGGGTCCCGCAGAGGAGAGTCTGACATGGTCACCCACAGTGGTGACCGGACACACCCTTTGCAGTTGCCTTTCCTTCACTGCATCATCATGTCCCCATATCCCTGCCAGTGTGATGTGGAATCACCTTCTGCATAAATTGCTTTCAAATAAATGAATCTTCACAGAGTGTGGCAGTCTTTCTAGAAAGTTCTCTCTCTCTCTCTCTCTCTCAGAATAAACGATGAACTGGTAGGGAGAAGTTGGAGTTAGAAGGCAGCAGCAGTGCTACAAAACTGTCTCCAAGGAAGATCAAAACACGCAGCAAAGCAAATGTGCTCCCCAAATATTTCATTCATTAGCTTGGGGGCCACACCCAGTAGTGCTCTGGGTTTATTCCTTGGCTCTGTGCTCAGGAATCACTCCCAGTGGTACTCAAGGGACCATATACTGTGCTGGGGATTAAACCGGGGTCAGTTGTATGCAAAGTATGTGCCCTGTCCCCCTGTATTATCTCTCTACTACCCTCCAATATTTTAAAATATGTTATGACATCAAAAACATTTTCACAGAAACATCCAGACTATGCAGAACTTTCTAGCATTTTACTTTATTTTTTTAATACTGTTATTATTGTTGTTGCTATACTGTTACCAAGGAAAAACTTGGTCCATATTTGTTGATGAGTGAATGAATTATGATTCATAAACCATAACTCCCAGGTTCCTTGCTGGCTGGGGCTGCCCTTCAGTGAGACAAAGACCAAAGGCAAAGGAGCAGATCTGGACTGGAGGGAGAGTGGGGGCCGGGGGGACGGGAATCTTCTCTGGGAACATGACAGCTCACAGGACACTCTGGATCCTGCCTCAACTGGGGTGCTGGGCAGGCGCAGGCAGGGCAATAACTAGACTCTTTCACAGTCCTTGCGGCACGTGCTCCTGTCAATCAGAAGGAATCCAGTCCCAGTGCCAGAGCTGAATCTGAGTCCTTGCTGGGGGCAGGGCTGGGTGATGACAACATAGTTATTGGATTATGGGGCCTGGGCAGAGAGGCAAGGCAGCCAGAATGCTCTGGGGTTGGGACAACGATATTCACCAACAGGCATCACCACACTAGTATACACATTGTGCCACACCCCTGGGCTCGGAGACCAGCGGAGAAGTCGCACGTCTGTGAAAACATCATCCAGCGAGGCTAGAGAAGGGATCCCCAAGACCAGTTAAGAGACAGGGGTGAGTCAAGGAGAGCGTGCCTCTTGGATGCTTGCATAGACTCAGGACAGCAATGACAGTACCCTTGATAGTTTGACTTCCAACGAGGAGTTTCTATTACTGTTTCACTGGCACAGAAACTGAGCTGCAAGAGGATTGAGGGTGTGTGACTATAGTTGGTAGCTAGCAGCTTTTCTCTAACTTGCCCATGATCGCATGGCTAGTAGGTGGCAGAGTCCAAATCCAAACAGACAAAGCTCTGTCTATACCACCTGTAAGAGTAGCAAGTGGAAAGCAAAGGGAGAAATAAGTCAGAGGCAAAGGACTTTACAGAGTGTATCTTTACAGCGTTGTGGTAATGCACAACTCCAGGGGAAACCAGAAAGGTGTTTCTTCAGCTGCTGGGAAGACAGGGGTCTGGAGAGTTGGGGAAGGAGGATCTATACAGGAGATTGGAAATAATTTATTGCTTTGGAACGTGTGAGGCCAATTTGAAGAGGGAGCATTGTTTCTCTAATTCTTAATCCAGAGATGGTCCGGATTGTTTTGAGAAATACTCTGGAAATAATTTTGACTAACCAAAACAAATTGTTCCTCTATTCCTCGAGTGAATCAGGCTTTCCTGAGATAGGGCGAGGCACATACAATAGCCGGGAATGGGGGCCGGTGTCATGCACCCAAGTGAGCGCGTGGATTCCAGGCAAGGGCCTCTGTCAAGGAAAGGTCATGTTCAGTGAAAGGTCATGAGTGGCAGGATTGGGATTCTGACCACTGCTCTGAGGAATAACAAAGTGGTGGGTGGTCCAGGGCCTCTTCCTGTTGGTTATAACCTCCTGTAGACATGAACCTAATGGCTTCCTTGAGTTAGTCAAAAGGGGCTCCCCTTTTTGCTCTCTTTCAGCCCCCCAATTCCCCCTCTCACCTGTAAGCCTTTTGTGGGCCATGATTTTTTTCTGTCATCAAGGCCATGATGACAGAAACTAATGGTCATCGCATGACCTCTGAGCCTCAGCTCCCTCTCTCTCAGGCTCTGTCCATTCTGGATCTCCCCTTGCTACCCCCAGTAACCATGTGCTTGTCCTCAACTATCCATCTTGGAGTTTACAAGCCTATCACTGCCTTCATGCCATTTATCATTCCATCCTCACTGCTCTTCTATCTAGAAGTGGAAGGTTCTGGCTGTCTCTCTCCCTCTGACCCCACCACAGTTTCCTTTCTATTTCAAGGACTGTTTAGTTTAGTTTTGTTTTGTTTTGGGGGACATAGCAATGATCAGGGGTTACTCCTAGCTCTGCACTAAGGAATTACTCCTGGTGGTGCTTGGGGGAACATATGGGATGCCGGGAATAGAACCCCATACAAGGCAAGTGCCCTACCCGCTGTATTATTGCTCCAACCCAAAAAGAATTGTTTCGATGAACTCACTTTGCTCAACTTTCTGGAGCAGCTCAGCTGACCAGGAGGAAATATCCAAGCAAATCAGTGGCCCACTGGTTCTGTTTTTCCTGCAGGTAAAGCCACGAGCCAAAGTTTCAGACTCAGAGTTGAGAGGTGGTGGACAGGCCACCTAGTCCAGTGGTCTCTCAAGCTGAAAATCAGCCCAACCCAGAACAAGTGATTTTCAGAGCCGCCACTTTGGTGTCTCATTTGTCAAGTAGAGATAAAAATACCAACCTTGTAGGGCGATGAGGACAAGTCAATGGGGCATGTAATTCATCTCATGTTTAATAGCTGGGAGCAGAGATTCTGCTTGTCTCAGACCCAGCTCCTGCAGAGAAGAGGGCAGACTTGCCCAAAGTCACGTGTGGCAACAGTTACAGTTCAGCCTGTTTCCCCCATGGGGTTTTTTATGCCCACCCACCCCCAAGATCCCTCACCAGTGGGGGATGAAGGCAGGAGCAAAGGGGCATGATGGGAAAATCTTCCTGTTCTCTGATCATCTCTCAGGGGCTGTAGATGGGACACACAGGGGACAAGGACAGGGTGTAAATATACGCCCACAGCCACACCAGAAATGAAGAATCAAGAATCAAGACAATAGGGCAAGGAGGCGCCTGGAAAAGATGTTTTAATGTTCATTCACGCAGTAAATAAGATCAAAGTCTATGGCACTGAGAGAGATGTTTCTCAGAAAATCCACCCTCGTGAGCCTGTTCATTCAGTTGCAGTTAGTTTGAGGGTTGCCAAAGGGAAGGAAGGGGGTGCAGTGAGGGTGGGGTGGGAAGGGCAGCCTTCAAAGGAAAGCTGGTCTTTATGTGCTATTTCTTTTCTACTGTCAGATTATTTGGCATTTAAACTTTTCCAGCAAGTTGGCTTATATAAACAGATGCCATTCTGAAATACGATTGTGCAAAAATATAAAACTCCTAAAGCATGAAGGCAATAACTCTTTAAGTGGGGAAATCAGTAAGGGTTGTTAATATCAGAAACGTACAAAGAGGATCATTTGAGCGGTTCTGTTTCTCTGGAGGAACAGCGGTCACAAACGATGAGTGGAATATTCCAGAAAGAAGCATGTGTCTGTACATAAGTTAGAAGGTGCGACATTTCTAAACACTGACTTTGCAAGAAAACATGAAGGACGTCTTACACTCAATGTAGTGTTCAAAGGGGGAAGGACTGAAGGATGCAGTAGGCGGGGCCTCAGCTTTTTGTTTCGACTCCCTCCTACCCATGTCAGTGGGGGGACATGGTCACACTGCATGGGGTGTCCTGCAGGATCTAGCACCAATCTGTGAATCAGATTTGATCTTGCCTCCGAGTCCTCATTTCTTCTGTTTTGAGTGTGACTGAGGTATGTTTTCTTCGGTTGTTGTTTGCAATGGAAGCGGATTGAAGACTGTACTATTTACAACATTTAAACAGGTTCAGTTTCAGTGTCAACTCTTCACGTAAGGAAAACGAAAACTCATGAGAAGCCTCAGAAGATCATCACTTCCGAGCATCAGTCAGGAAACTATTTTCAATGCACAGAACAATGAGCCTGCTCGCACAGCTATAGGGGTTCTGCTCCAGAACCTTCCCCGAGCTCAGTGGAGAGGCGTAGCCCGTGTTCTCCACGCGGGCGGTCCTCCATGCTTCACAGTAGTTGTCCACCAGACGGACGCCGTGAGTGGTGGAGCCGTGCCAAACCACCTTTTGGGGCCTAAAAAAAAAATTGTCATTGTGAACTTTTAGGTACTTCTTCATGGCACAACTCAGGGAACAAAACTGAAGACAGCCAGTGAATGGAGCCAAACTCCTATACTCCCACTCTCTGACCCCAAACCACCTCCGTCGATTTTCTGGATATCTTCTGGATATCTTTGTCCATATCCAGCTGCCCTGTTCTCCTTCCACACTCTCTGTTAACATGGCTTTGAGTCTCTTCTCCTGTGGGCCTCTGAGTTGGAATGACCTCTCTCTTAATGGTCAGACCAGTGATTCCTTCTCTTGTTTGAAAAGATGACATTAAATGCCTCCTCCTGCAGGAAGTTCTCTTTATTCTCACCCCTAGATAAGAATGTTAACGGCCTTGGCAATCCTGTTTCTCTACCAAGGAAGAGTCACATTTACCATGTATTAAGTGCCTCTTGCATGGTCTCTGATCTCATGGTGCTCCTTTAATTCTTACAGCATCCTAGGGTACAGTAATGGTTATATGGCCCATGGAAAGGTGAGGCGGCCAGGCCCCTCATGAGGCAGCCAGACATGGCAGCTGGGTCCTGGCTTTGAGGCCAGGGAATTCTCCATCGGTTCTGGCTGCCTCATGGAGGCTTTCTGCTCACCATACCCTAGAATGACAGCTGATCAAACACTCCCCTAGTTAGAAGATCCCCTGAGACAGTCTCCTATGCATCTCCTTGGAGGGTTCTTAGCCCTACTCACCAAGAAGGATCCGTCATTACATTTCGGCCATCAAAGGAGTATATGGGAACATTTGCGTTGAACTGACCTCCATGGCCAGTGAAAATGGAGTCCCAGTTGTCAAAAAGGACTTGCCCCTACAAAAACAAAACGTGCCATTACAATCATTATCCCATCAGCCTGCAGATGAATGAGCTCTTTATTACTACTTCAAGGCAAAGGTACCCCCTCCCCCACCCACCCTTGTGTGGAAGCACAACCCCCAACCCCAGAGCCCACACAAAGCAGAAACTCAAAGCTTGCGGTTTGGTTTGTAGATCCAGTCTGGGACCCTCTGAGTTCTCTGGTTTTATTTTGGAGGTCACTTTTCTTATTTTATGTGTATAAAGTCTCCTCCTTGGCTGAAATGTGCTTCTGACCTTCTGATATTGGTGGTACTGGATCCTGAGTTTCATGCTTCTGACTGATGTGTCTCTGACTACTTTCCTAGAATGAGCCCCGTTCCCTCCTGTTATCTACTGTATTCCAAGAGTACAAATATTTTGAGAGGGTGAATGTGAGGGGACAGAACCTTGGGAGAGAAGATACAAAGATCTGGGGCTGGAGGCATCAGAGAGCTTGTTAGCCTCAGGGTTCCCCACTGGAGTGATGGGGTCCCAGGGACACAAAAGCTCTCTAAGTACCTTTGAGATCTAGTTAGATTTTTTTTTGGGGGGGGTGAGATTGTTTCTTTTTGGATCATACCCAGCAATGTTCAGGACTTACTCCTGGCTCCACACTCAGGAATCACTCCTGGTGGTGCTCAGATATGGATGCCAGGGATCAAACTCAAGTTGGCTACATGTAAGGCAAGTGTCCTACCTGCTGTACTATGGCTCCATCCCCCTGGGGTAGATGTGTGAACAGCATCTGAGCTGCTCCTGTTGCCTAGAAGGATGCTTTCCAGGTTCTCACTTAGGGAGGAAACCCCCTGTGAATGGGGCAGAGAACCATCTGCCAGGTCCTGGTAGCTGAGATGTGCTGGATTTGAAAAGCTAGTATGTGACAAAGAGATGCTGATTTGGACAACCACTGCTCTGCCTGCTGGGCCCCTCAGTGGGTACCTCTGAGAGGGCATCCGTGGGCCAGCTAGAGCCCCCAGTGGCAGGAGTCAAGGACGCCAAACTTAGTGTATGGTGATTTGGAGCAAACGGCTTGCTTTCTCTCTCTCAGTCTCCATTGGAGAGCTTAATTTAAAGTGAGAAAAAAACCCCACTTTTATTGGAACCATCTATTAATAGAAGAACAATGCCTTTTCAACTCCCCAAAGAACTAAGGAAGTGAATAGGCTACTACTATTCCTTCTCTGTGCTTCAAGACTCAAGTTGTTTAAGCAGGAAGGGCTTATCTTAAGCGTTGAGATAAGGAAGCAAAGACTCAGAGAGGTTATCCACCCTGCCAGTCACACAGTCAGTTGGGCCGGGCTATACCTTGAACCCTCACATCTCTGATGAGGGCCAATGCCCCAGTCCTCATCGGGGCCAGGACTTCCAGGGGACCGGGGGCACTGCCTGTTTTTACCTTGAGATTCACGATGGGAAGGCTGAACCTCTCGGCTTTCCGCACAATGGTGGAGAGGTCTTGCAGGTGAGTGGATAAGAACGCCCTGTAGGTGGACAGCAGACCCGCAGCCCTGGCCTGCTGGAAGCATTGAAAGTCGGCACGAATATCCCCAGAGAAGGGTGAGTTCAGGGCCACGAGGTGCAGCTGAAACAAGCAAGAGAAAAGTTGTTGCTGTCAGAGCTAGACGCAAACTCCATATTGGGGGTTGCTAAGCAGCCCCTAGACTCCTGGGCGGAGGGATGGTGAGGGGGAAGGACTGGGGGCAGCACCTTCAGCCTTCATGTGAGGTCATCATTTCAGCACCATAGAGGAGTAAAGTCTCCTACAAACAAACTCCTGGGGGTGGGGAGCTGTACCGTGGGCAAGAGGTTTGCCTTGCCAAGAGTGATTCCTGAACATTGCTGGCATGGCCCCAAATGGTATAAAATCAGTATAGTAACCCCTGAGAATCATAGGTGTGACCCCCCCAAAAAAAAACACAAACAAACAAAAAGTGCTACTTGGGACAAATGCAGCCAAGGGCCACACATAAGCTGAAGTGTCAAGACTGGCCCCGGTCTAAGGGCACTTCTCAGGATGTTTTCTCAATCTCAACAATTTTCCTTCCCATCCTAGAGCAGACAGGAGTCAGCTACATCCTCCAATTTCTCTTTTTTAATTCATCCCTAGTTCTTCCTGCATGGCTGTACTGAGTAGGGACCCCTATCACGCAGCAGCCCCTCCTCTGTCTGAGCTGAGACCTTCCTGGTGGTGGCAGTGGATACTTCTGCCAGCCTGGCCCTGAGGATGGGGAGGATGGGAGGTGCCCTCACTGCCCACTCCAGAGGCCAGGCTCCAGTTCCGCAGGCTGGGCAGGCCCTGGGAGGTCCTGTCAATGGCGCCCATGTATGCGGACGCTGGGACACCGGAGGGCAGAGCGGCTGTGGCCCCTCTGTTTCCAGACAGCGTGCAGCTGCCACTGAGCGGCTTGGCTGGAATTTGGTGTTCCTCTGCCAGGGGCCCCTGGGAGAGGTGTGGGGTGACTACATGCACTCCTGATCCTGCCTGTCTCTGCCTACCATTCTGAAGGAGAAGCAGAGATAAGAGTCTGGAATGTGGATGGTTGTTCTAAACAGTGAGGTTGGGAGTGATTGGTCAATGTTGGCCTTTCTCTATTTGCTGACCCGATTTTATATTGAATACGAGGCATTTTTAGGAAGGTAATAGTGTTATAACAAAGTGTTAAAAACGGTTATTTTGTGGAAGATTGCCATCTGGGTAAAATCATGGGCGCTGCACTATTTTCTTCTCCGTTCTTTTTATTCACTCTCCAAATTTTCTCTGATGCATATGCATTACTTTAGAATTTATAAAGTGCTATTTAAAGATTCCTTTAGTGTCGATGTAGCTCCTGAAAGCCCCCATTTTAATCCCGGAGTTACTTGATCTTCCTGTCAGAGAGAAACTTTGTGAAGGGTGAATCTCTCCAGTCTTGTTCCTCCTTGCTTCCCACGGGCTCCTCAGCCAAAGCACGGTGGCGTTCTGGGAATGCTTTTCTTCACTTCCTATGTTTTGGAGACTCTCGGGTGAGGCCGTACTCAGTGGTGCTCAGGGTTTACTCCTTGCTCTGTGCTCAGGGATCACTCCTGGCAGTGGCAGGTGGGGATGAGAATGGAGTCTACCTCTTGCACGGGCCTTAACCCCTATACTATGTCTCCAGCTCCCTTTTCTCCCCTCTTCATTATTCTGATTGCCTTCTGGGCAGCCCCAAGGCTTCTGGCTTCAGCCTTGGTTGGCTTCTTCATCCTCTGTAGCCTCTTTGTCCATCCTGGATTCTCAGCTCCCTTCTCAGTAGTCCTTCTTCCAGCCCCTTTTTAATTTTTGCTGCTTGGTGTCACATCTCTTCTCTCCAGACAGCATCTCCTTTGGGAGTTTTGCCATCTTGTCCCTCTGTTGAGGACCCTCACTGAGTGTCTCTCTCCGGCCCCAGACCATGGGGAGCTTTCAGACCTCTACACCCAAGTCCTTCCAGGTCATGGCCATGAGATTCCTGCGTACCTGTGCCTGCCTGTGAGCTATGAACAGAACTCAGGGAAAGGCTGCCCTAGAGGAAACATGAATTCTGCCCAGCACAGGCCTTGTTCTTTGAAAGTGACCTACAAGCCTGACCTTGGCCACTGCAGCTGTCCAGTCACACAGAGCGGGGGCAGCACTAAACAGGCCCACTTCTCTGACCTCTCCTGGAGTCCTGGAGCCTTAGTGCCCTGTACTGGCCCCTGAGATCCATCAGTAGACTTTACTGTTACTCCCTACTTTTAGTTTACTTTCGGGCCATACCTGGTGGTGCTCAGGGCTCACTCCTGGCAGGGCTCAGGGGGACCCTATGAGGTGCCGGGGATTGAACTGGGGTCGGCTTTGTACAAGACAAGCCCCCTGCCCACTGTACTATCTTTCAGGCCTTTGTTGTGCCCTCTCCCTCTGTCCTTTCTCTAGCATCTGGCTTGTTAAACTCAGCCAGGGTGAGGTCTGGAGACAGTGCTGCCGCAGTGGGAGAGACGTGATGCACAGCGGATGGGGGTGCGGCTTGCTTCTGAAGCTGTGGCTCAAGATATGGGGGATTCAAAAAAAGTGGCAACAGGAAAAGGTTTCTGAACGTGCCACCGCCAGAAATAAATTCAAAATCCGACATGTCCTGAATCGTGGGCGTTTCTGGCAGCGCTCACTCGGGTTATGCTTTCTCTGGTGATGAGAAGGGTCACGAGGGGAAAAGGTGAAGCAGCCCTGCTCGAGGCTACAGGCTCCCACCTAGGCTATGGGAACTGTCCCCGAGCCTGAGGCCCTGCGCATGGGAGACACATGTTTGGGATTAGCACAGTGAAGGCGTTTGGACTTACCGAGGGCCTCACGTAGTTGGCGCTTAAGGCAGGCAGCTGTGGAGGCTGAACGTGATGTGACTGCTGGATAGGAAAGGAGAGCAAGCAGTTGCGAATATGCTTCCGAGCTGTTCTCCAAACACAGAGTACAGAGCACAGCAACTCAGGGTCCACCCGGGTCTTTGGACCACACCTCACTGCAAAGAGTCTCATGCTCAAATGATAAACTGTGCCCCAGGAAGGATGGTGTGTGTGTGTGTGTGTGTGTGTGTGTGTGTGTGCGCATGTGTGCATGTGTGCATGCGTGCTTTTGTGTGTGTGTGTATGTGTGTGTGCATGTGTGCGTGTGTGCATGCCTGCTTTTGTGTGTGTGTGTGTGTGTGTGTGGTTATGCTTTATCTTCGAGAATGCACTCCAAACCAGTAAACCACTTCACTGCACAGGGCAGCCACCTCTTCAGAACCTCAGTTTTCCATCTGCAACCTGGAGGTGACTGCACCTGGCTCAGAAGGTAGCCTAAAACAGGGGTCAGGTAAATGGTTGATGTGTTTAGTGGGCAAAGAATTCTTACAGTGCTTAAAAGCAATAGATTTCTTAGACCTATGATCAGGATGAGGAACCGTGTGTGTGTGTGTGTGTGTGTGTGTGTGTCTGTGTGTGTGTGTGTGGTGTGTGCCAAGGGCCATTTGGATTTTACAACACCATTCGAGAGCCACTCACTACAGGCAGGCAGATGACAGGAAGCATCCGTATCTCTTCCATCATGGTTCAAGGCCAGACCATAGGAAATGGTCTTATACGATATGGTGTATGGGCTGGATATTCCCCATGCCTGGCTTTTTCCAAAGCAATGATTTCACAGTTGAGTAAACTGAGGCCACATGAGGAGAAACCTGGCCCCAGGAGGGTTTAACTATGACACAAGAGCAGCCGCTAGCCTGTTGTCCCTCCATTCTGCGGTGAGAACATTCTGTTGGCACTTGCTAAACTTGGGGTTTCCTTTAGACAGCAGAACGGGTACATGGACATCCAGAGTTTGGAGAGGTCAGAAGAAACATGCAGAGGGACTCAGTTCGTGCTGCTGAACAAAGAAGGAGTGAGAAGTAAGGCTGGGAAACAACTCACGTGGCTCGACAATGCTGGGGGTGGCAGGCTGTCGGCGGGAACGGGGATCAGCTCTCCCAGCTTTAAGGAAAAGAGTACAATGAAATTGAAACACCCGCTAGAAATGGTTCCCCTATTTCCAAAACAGAAAAACAGCATCTGCAGGAGAAGATCAATAGTTTTTCAAAGGTTGGGGAAGGCGTTCTGTTAAGGGAAGTTTCAAAATTACCTGTAATTTTTTCCAGCCATCCCGGACTCGAATAAAAAACTCCGTGCTGTCCCTCAGGTAGATGAAGGTCCCTTCTATCACCAAATGTGCGTTCTGCAGCATGTCACCCATGGTGCCGAAGGATGTGACCTGCCACATGAGTAGAGGTCCACATACTGTGTTAGGGTGGGGGCGCCTGAAGCTGCCTCTCTGCAGCATCAAATAGGAGTCCCCTCATATTCCACAAAGGACTGAGTGTGCCACTATCCACCGGCATTCAGAACCACACTGATCCACAGTTCCTCAGAGGTAGAACACAGCTCTGAGTTACAGTGAACAGGACTTTAAATGACAATGCATAGATAAAAGCAAGGAAGATAATCTTCTGTGGGATCAAAGGCAGTCAGAAACTGTGAGCAGAATTATATCTTGGGTTTGAGCATTGGCAAAATGAGTGGGAGGTTCTGTCATTTACATCTTTCTAACGCTCCCATGCTGTTCCTGGAAGGTGGCCGTGTTTGTTTACATGTGCGGCAATGAATGGAAGCAAGTGAGCAGCTCTGCGTGGGTCTTGTACCTCTTAATTTATTTATTTTTGCCTAGCTGAATTGTTACAATAGCAAGCACATGGTAGACACGGAGGTGTGTCATCTCTATCTAAGGCACTGCCAAAAATTAGACAGCTATTTTGGCATACCCGGGGACAGATATAAAAGCTGCAAAAAAACAAACAAAAAAAAAACCTATCAAAAAAGCATCATCTTTCAAATAAGCATCAGCCAGGGGAGGCTTTTGTTTTGTTTTGTTTTGTTTTTTATTTCATCTGAGAAATTTTATTTAAAAAATTAATTTTCCTCCTGGCCTTAGAAGAAATGACTTTATGCATTAGAATGGCTTCAGCCAGTCTCTCCCCGCAAGGTTGTAAATCCCATCATCTTCTAGACAGGTCTTTTAATTTGGCCACCAAATCCTCCCCTCCCCTCCTTCACCTTCCCCCTCCCCCCTACACACACTAAAATTCACAAAGACCAAAGCACATTCCTAGGAATCCTGACATTCTTGTGCTGGATTTATCCATTGTCCTGTGGAGTGCTGTACCCTGTGCTCCAATGATCTGGAATGTACTGAGAGTAGCACCAAGCTCCTTGGGCAGAATGGAGCCAGCTGAGTTCCTCATACTAGACCTGACCAGCACAGGATCTGCTGAGATCTTTAAACATCATGCTTATGTTTTCTGATGTCCTATGCTTGGCTCTTACTGGCTCTGATATCTGTGATTCTATTGGTCCTTATCAAATCATCAATTAAGGAAGGGGGGGGAATAGAACTTACATCATACATAATTTTGGGGTTTATACTTAAGAAGTCAGTGAAGTATCTATACCATACCCATTCCTTTCTTTGGACTTAAACCAATCCTAGTGTTCTGGAGGCTTAATTCCAACCCGAAAAGCCAAACTAGCCAGACTCACCAGGTTTCGGGATCCAGGTAACCCTGGCTGTCCAGGAGGGCCAGGAGGGCCAGGAAGGGCCACAGCTAAGACAAAAAAGAGAAGAAAAGTTACCCCCAACAACAAGCTCTGACAGAGGCCTTGGGGGTTGGCTGGTCACTTATGAAAGGAGGGAGAGTATGCAAACCCTGGTTTACAGCCCGGCACAGCAGTGAATCTTGGCTGGTGCATCTCTGGAGCTCTGGCCCCAGGATGTGATGCAGCCGTGGGAACCATTTGGGGAAAAAAACAAGAACCTCAGTTTCAGCCATGAATTAAGTCATGCCAAGGAACTTTTCAGTTCCACCAGGGGAGGCCTGTCTGTGATTTCTGCTGTGTGGATAAGCCAGTTTGAATCAGATTCTCTGTCATTTGCATCCCAGCCTTACTTCACTCATGAGAGAAGCAGAAGACAGAAGAGAGTCTTGGAAAGAGGCTGGGCTGCAGAGAGAGCTTGAGGTGGTGCTGAGACAAGAGCCCATGAGGCCAGGAACTTGGGCCTTCGACTGTCAATTCCCAGTTCCTGTGATCTTGGAGAAACAAAAGTGCTCAGAATCCCTGCTTCCTCATCTATGAAATGTACGCAGGCAGTTCTTTTCAGTGGACTTGGTGAGAACTGATGAAAATGCAAACCAGGAATGGGATTTGCATCAGTATAGTATTATTCCGAGGTTTTTAGTTTTTTTGAAAAGTCACAGTGTCCTTTAAAATGAGAGGAAGGCCTCAGGGGTGTGACTGAGCTGTAGAGGACATGCCATTCCTGACCAAGGCCACTATTGTGCACAATCACCATCACCGCAACATCAAGAACAGAACATTAGATCAAGGTTCACCAACCTAAATCTCTATACAGTGAAAGAAATTATCATTAAAACAAAAACATACCTGTCTGACTAAGAGAAAGTCTCTTCACATCATAAATTTGACAAAGGGCTAATAACTAAGATATGTAAAGATGTCGTGAAGCACAACAACAAGGAAACAAATAACCCCAATAAAAAAAGGGGAGAGAGCCGCAACCATGTCCCACTGCTGCTGCCAGGTAAAGTCATCTACCCATCCTGTTCCAGAGACTCATAATTAAATCTTGAAAGAGATCAACTAACCGCAAAATTTCTTGAATATATCAGTCCTGGCCAGAACTTCTGGGGCGATCTCAGGAGCAGGAAGGGACAAGTTCTTGCCCTACCAAAGCCTCAGTAGCTGTACCCACACATGCTGAAAATTTCAGGAACACAGGGGTTTTGGGGTTGAAATCTCCAAACTTTCTTAGAGTTGGAATGGATGACCCCCCCCACCCACCTCCCATACTTCCAGAAGCTCTGGCGGCCACACCCATGTCCCACCTCCACTTCCATGTAAGTTCACTGCTCAGTTGAATATTCTGGACTTTCTAGACTGATTTTTCTCCAACTGCATTTTCTCCAACAAAATGAGGAGAGGCCTGGGGCCACAGAGATAGTTCTGGAGGTAAGATGATTTCCTCCCAGGCGGCTCACCCCAGTTCAATCTCAGCATGGATGATGGTCCCCAGAGGACCACTGGGGTCACTCCTGAACTTAGAGCCAGGAATAGCTTTTGGGGTCTGCCACTGTAGACTGCAGCTGCAAATGTACTAATGTGACATCCCCAAGCTCTACAATACTAACAGTATACCAGATTGAATGGGAATGTAACATAGATGCCAACTAAGCTCAACAAACAAAACATTAACACAGAAAGCTAAACCAGAAACAAAAGCTTAGTAAAGTCTCAGACGAGGACTTAATGTTTCCATGGTGAGATACAACAATTTTCACGAATTTTATTTTGCTGAAGTATTTTTTTTTATCATTTCATTAGCCATATAACCATTATGGTAATGGTAACAAGCAGTATAAAATAAATTATTGTGGGCCCGCTAAAGGGGTAGGCTTGAGGGGTGGTTAGGAAAATGGAGAAAATGGTGGAGGGAAGGTGACACTGGTTGTGGGATTGGTATGGAATAGTGAATTCTGTAGCAAACCATCACAAACAACTATGTAAACCACAATGTTTAACTAAAGTGGAAAAAATTAAAAATTAGTGGGGCAGGACAGTACAGTGGGTAGGGCAATTGCCTTGCACGTGGCACGCCTGAGTTTGATCCCCGGCATCCCATATGGTCCTCTGAGCATTGCCAGGAGTAATTCCTGAGAGCACAGCCAGGAGTAACCCTTGAGCATTGCCGGGTGTGAGCAAAAAAAGCAAAAATAAATAAATAAAATACAGCAAAAAAAAAAAAAAAATAAAAAGTGGACATGTCCAGCTACAAGACCCGGGGAACCTGAAGACCCCCTTCCTGCCAAGGTGCCCTCTGAGCCAAAGGGGACCCCGCAAGTTTTAGAAGTGTATCAGAAGTAAACTGCTAGCCTGGCAGGCACCAAAGCAGCTCCTCCCCTACAGGTAAAGCAGCAGCAGGGGGCGTGGCCTCCAGGATGGCAGCCGCTCCTGAGGTATCAGTTATTTTCCCCTTTCCCAGCCCCTTGGACTCACATCTCAACCTCTAGTACCTAAAATTCTGACAAGAACAGCCTGGCTATCCCAAACACATTAGGCCAATAATCCAAAAGCCTATCCAATCAAAATACTCCCCAAATTCACCAAAATAACAGTGAATACAAAAATCTGAACAAGCCTCATGTAAAAGAACACATCCCCTGAAGTTGCACTAGAGGCCTCACATAAGTCCCAGAGGAGCACAAAAGAGCCCATCTAGAATCCTCCTTCGCAGCAAGAGGGAGGCCACTGATAGTGAACTGGAGGGACCCACCTCCATACTACCACAGCAATATGAAGAAACAGTGAAGATCCCCACCACGAGAAGTGGGTGAAGAAAAGAGCCCAGAAGCCTCAACAGGGAATACCCACATATGCAATCTCTCCGATAATGAATTCAGAGATGAAATGTTGAGGATTTTCAATGAGCTCAAAGAAACAGTGAAACAGACATCCAGTAAATTAAAGGAAGATATGAAAGAAACAGTGGAACAGACAGCCAATAAAATACAGGAAGAAATGAGAGCAGAAATAAAAAAGCTACAAACAGGAGTGTCACTAATAAAGGATTCGGTAGATGAAATTAAAACCTCAGTGAGTGCCCTCAACAGTAGAATGACAACAGCTCAAGACAGAATCTGTGAGCTTGAAGATGAGCTACAGAAAGCATACAGGAAACAACATATAATGGAAAAAAACCCTCAAAATAATGCTAAGATAAATAAGAGACCTAGGGGATGAATTCAAGAAGAACAACATAAGAATCATCAGAGAACAACATAAGAATCAATGAAATTGCAACAGTTAAAGATATCACTGCTGAGAAGTTCCCAGAGCTGGAGAATGCAGACATCCAGTTCCAAGAAGCCCGAAGGGTACCAGCTAAAAGAGACCCTAATAAAAAGACTTCAAGACACGATAATCAGAACGATGAATACCGCAGATAGAGACTCAATACTGCAAGCATCAAGGTCAAAGAAGGAAATCACATACAAAGGAGATTCCCTTATAGCAGACTTTTCAGAGGAAACCGACTGAGCTTGAAGACAGTGTTGGGATATAGTGGAAATACTCAATGAAATGAACACCTCACCAAGAGTACTTTATCTGGCTAAACTCTCACTAAAACTCAAAGGAGCGATATTCTACTTCATGGATAAACAACAGCTCAGGAACTTCATAGACTCAAAATCAACCTTAGAAGAAGGACTGGAGGGACTACTGGAAGACAAGACAAACCCCTACAAACACAACAAACCTCTACAAAAAGATTACACAAAGCCCCATGACAATAATATCTCTCAATGTCAATGTAAATGCACAAATTAAGAGACACAGAGTGGCAAAATGGTTAAAAAAACTGAATCCAACATTCTGCTGCCTAGAAGAAATACATCTGAACAGTCAAAGAAAGCACAGACTCAAAGTCAAGGATGGAAAACAGTTCTTCAAGCAAACAACTCCCTCAAAAAAGCTAGGGTGGCCATACTAGTATCCAACAACACAGATTTCAGGCTGAAATATATTAAAAGGGACAGGGAAGGCCATTTTTAATAACAAGGGATATGTACATCAGGAAGAAATCTCATTCCTACATATATATACACCCAGTGAGGGGCCAGCAAAATACTTAAAACAACTTCTAATAGACTTCAAGGAGGACATTGGTAGCAACATAATAGTAATTGGACACTTCAACACCACCTTATCATCTCTTGATGATCAACAAGATTAAAACTCAGCAAGGAAGTACAGGCTCTGAAGGAAGAAATGGAAGATAGAGGACTTATAGATATATTAGCTTTTTCATCCCCCCAAAACTGAATACACATTCTTTTCTAGTGCACATGGAACATTTCCCAAGATAGACCATATACTGGGACACAAAACATACTTCAATAGATTAAAAAAGATGGAAATTGTAGCAACTATCTTTTTAGACCACAAGGCATTGGAGATTGAAGTTAATCACACACAGAAATGGGAATCAAATCAAACACCTGGAAATTAAACAGCTGAATATTGAACAACGAGTGGGTCAGAGAGGAAATCAAGGAAGAAATCAAAAGATTCCTAGAAACAAATGAGAATGAAGACAGGAGCTACCAGAACTTGAGGGACACAGCTAAAGCAGTGTTATGGGGAAAATTTTTAGCTCTGCAAGTGTTTCTCAAGAAGAAAGAAAGGGTCTATATAAATAACTTGACTTCACAGCTTAAGATCTTAGAAAATGATCAACAAAAGGAGCCCAAACCAGGCAGGAGGAAAAAATAATAAAACTAGAGCAGAAATTAACGAGCTGGATTCCCTAAAAACAACCTAAAAGATCAACAAAATCAAGAGCTGCTTCTTTAAAAAAAATAACAATATTAATAAACCACTAGCAAGACTCACAAAGAAAGAGAGAGAGAACCCTAATAAACTGAATCAGAAATGAAAAGGGGGACATCACAACAGAAATCAAAAAAACTCAAAAGATCATCAAAGATTACTTTGAAAGTTTGTATGTCACGAAACAAGAGAACCTGGA